TTTCAAATGATCGATCATATTTGAAAATATATAATAGCGGTTAATATTTAACCGCTATTAGAAGTGCTATATAATAGCGGTTAAGATTTAACTGTTATTAGAAGTGATATTATAATAGCGGTTAAGATTTAAGCGTTATCATATACTACCACATTTTTCACTTTCGTATCTCGCGCCACTTATCCCCAAATAACCCTAACTCTCGCGCCTCACTCACCCATTCCTCTTAACCTTGGCCAGTATCTCCTCCTCACTCCCGGCGAGCCCTAGCCCCCTCACTCGCTCCCCCAAGTCGGCCCTCACCCTAATCCAACCTCCACCAAAGCTCCTCGTCAACCGGACGCCACCCCGTGAGCCACCGTGCCACACCTCTCGTTCTTAACCTCCTCCGCAGCCTTCGACACCCTCAACCAAGGTTTGACTTGTTTGAATGTATATACTTGTTATTCTCTTGCATTGTGAATAATATAGGAGAGATAATTTTGACAGAATTTCTTTATCGTTTGTTGTAAGTGGATTTGTGAAGTAGATAGGTTCTTCGATCCCTCTTACTACGGATTTGGTGGTGCTTGACGGACCAATTTGGGAACTTGTTGAGACCGTACGCCCTCAGGTTAACCATTTGTAATTTGTTTTAATTATCTCGTTGGATCTTAGTGAAAAGAAATTTCATAATTATTGGGTTTACTTATACAATTATTTGGTGGTCTCGTATCATACGTATCGCATAAGTAGTGGATAAATACCTTGGAAAAAATGTATTAGAAAAACGTAAGTACTCGCATCACATGAAGTGAATAATGCAGTTTCACTTATGCTCGATTGTTATAGTTAATTTGCAAGAATAGAAAAACATAAGTAAGTGCATCACATAAAGTGAATAATGCAGTTTCACTTATGCTGATTGTTGTAGTTAATTTGCAAGAATAGAAAAACATAAGTAGTGCATCACATAAAGTGAATAATGCAGTTTCACTTATGCTGATTGTTGTAGTTAATTTGCAAGAATAGAAAAACATAACTAGTGCATTACATAAAGTGAATAATGCAGTTTCACTTATGCTAATTATAATTCTTTAATATGAAATTTCTTAATAATATCAATCCCACAATATGTTTCAACACAGGTTTATACCAACAAATGGTCCTCCTCGCTATAATCTCTAGAATCATCAAACAAAAATTTGATGAACCAAGTCCCACTTGGAGAAAGGTTTCACTTGAGCTTCGAGATAGATGGTTTTGAGAGTTCAAGGTAATTTGAATTATAGTTACATTAAACAATGTCATTTCATTCTTATAAATTAAATGTTTGTTGTGTATTTTATTTATGCGAAAGAGTATATATGGGATGTGGAACAAGAGCAAGCCATAAGATCTGTTTTTGATAAGAAAGGTTCTCGAATTTTAAAAAACTCAATGAACAAAGTTAGGAATGGTAAGGATACGGGAATCTGGATACCGCCAGCTGTTCGAGCATATTAAGACTTTGAATCTTGATTAGTTGTTAAGTTCTTAAGTTTCATTTGTGTTATGTTTGGATGAATTAAGCGGTACAAATTTTGTAAAATTGGATATACAAAATTTGACTTTAGTTCTTAAGTTTTCATTTGTGTTATGTTTGGATGAATTAAGCAGATACAAATTTTATGATTTGAATAATTTGACTTTAGTTCTTAAGTTTTCATTTGTGTTATATTTGGATGAATTAAGCGGTACAAATTTTATGATTTGAATAATTTGACTTTAGTTCTTAAGTTTTCATATGTGTTATGTTTGGATGAATTAAGCGGTACCAATTTTGTCAAATTGGATATACAAAATTTTAAACGAAAATTTTCAGATTTGGTTAGATTAGCGATCGAATTTTTGGTCGCTACAAATTTATTATAATATACAATTCAAATTTAGCGAATCGATTTAAATTATTAGTTAAATAATTCAATTAATATATTAGCGATCGATTATATCCGTCGCTATTATTGTTAACTTTGTCTCCAATTTAGCGATCGATTTTAATTTTTATTTAAATAATTATATTAATATATTAGCGATCGAATATATCGGTCGCTATTTTTTAAAACTTTACCACGGATTTAGCGATCGATTTATTATATTAATTTCGGTCACTATTTTGGTCTTCAATGAATAAGTGACCAAATTATTTAGCGACCACTTTAGCGACCACCTCATCGGTCGCTATTTAGCGACCGAAATGTAAATCGGTCGCTAACAAATTAGCGACTTGCCCTTTTGCGACCAACCATTTCGGTCGCTAATAGCGTTTTTTCTTGTAGTGAAAAAATAATAAAAATCCTATCTTTTCAATATCAACATGCTAAAAAAATCATTATAAGAGAATGAATTTCTATTTCTAATACATTAGAAACAAGAAAATATATATATAAGAATGAAACAATTACGTCAGTAAGGAGAGAAGACCAAATAAAACTCTACAAGATCATGTCACAAAGAAAAGTAAAAAAGAAAAAAAATTTACCAAGAATACAAAACAAAGTTAGAATGCATTGAACCATTATTATTAGATATTATTGTTGTGAATATAACAATATAATGGAATCAAATAAAGAAAGACTCCAAAAATGATAATAGGTTTTTGTTCTTATAAATATTAGTAAGTTTGATAAATAAATATATATATATATATATATATATATATATATATATATATATATATATATATATATATATATATATATATATATATATACTTTATTATCTTTGCAGTATCCAACTATCAATACCCAAATTCAACAACTTGTCTTCCAATACATCCGGATGAATATTCAAAGAAGATCCAGTATAGGTTGATAATATATATAAATATATATATATATATATATATATATATATATATATATATATATATATATATATATATATATATATATATATATATACTTTATTATCTTTGCAGTATCCAACCATCAATATCCAAATTCAAGAACTTGTCTTCCAATACATCCGGACGAATATTCAAAGAAAATCCAGCATAGGTGAACCAAAGAAAAAAAAGTTAGTATTTGACCTTGTAAGAATATTAATTAGCATCCATCGTGGGCCAAACAATAACAGTGCATGATGAGCAATAAACCAGATGAACAGTGGGTGAACAGTTACACTGACAAAATCAATAGAAGGTGTAAGCAATGAAATCTTGTTCTAATACCAAATGTTTACAAATAGAATGGATGCAAAAATATTTAGAGTTTGAAATCGATTATGAATAGAAAATTAGGAGTTGAGAACAAAATACTAAAAACTTAAATAAATAAAGACACGATAAATAAAGTTTAATAAGTCCTAGGATGATCACTAAAAGAATTGATAAATTTCTGATAAGATCGTAGATACAAGAAATAAGATATTTTCACATTGACAAACTTAATTTATTGTCTCTTTTTTAAATTTAACAATCATAAATACAAATTTAAGATTTTCTTGGGGTTTGACTTTGTTTTTAATTAAATAAAAAGAAAAAAGACCAAAAGAATTATAAGCAAATAATGATAAACTAATAGTTTTGAATTCAATTTCTAACTTTATAAAAAAAGAATAGAATATTTTTATTTTAACTCGTCAAGCCGATGTAATCAGCTAGAAGCTTTTCTAACCTTTCTGTCAATCTTTGGTTCAATTAAGTCTTCAATTACATCTTTAGCTTTTCTAACCTTTCTCGTGTTGTTGAGCTTTTATGTCCACGTCAAATGACAGGAACAATGGTATCCATCGGAAACATGACTATATAGAAAGGCAAAGTTCACCAATAAGACGAGAAGACCAGGTCAATGAAGCAACCCTCCCCGAAATTAAGAAGAGCTTGAGAATGTTAAAAATGAAAACTCGAAAGAAATAATGGCGTTGAAAAAGACAACAAACGAATTCAAAAACGACTAGAGGAGAAGGAGGGAGAGCACGATCTAGAAAGTTCGAGAACGTCTAGAATGGGAAACAACCCGAGTAGTCCCCATCCCTCATCGCCCCTCATGCGAGCTCAAACTCGTTCCAGTATAAGCACCTTGTGTTTCGTCCATCATACCCCCTTAAACGCCAATTGAACATGAGTCCCAAAGGAAGCGTTGAGCGCAGATCTAATCTGCACAACAAGGAAAGTTCCAACCCCACCCAACGTCGATCAGAGCAAATATTGTCGATATCACCAAAATTACAAGCACATTACCAGGGACTATGTCGCCCTGAAAGACAAGATTGAAGAACTTATCCAAGTAGGACATTTGTAAAAATTCGTACAAAGGAACGATGACAAACGAATGTACAGACGCCAGGATTATGGAGGGACCAATGATAGAAAATGGCAAAAGAACCCGAATTATGGAGGATCACACAATCAACTCAGGGGGTGATCAATACCATCACTAGATTATGAAGTTTCGGTCAGCTCACCCTTAACGTGGACTGGGTCTGAACACTCATTTCTCTTTATCACATCAGCCCCCGACCTCTTACCCAAGACAAGGGCTCGGGTCTGGTGCTTGATGAAAGCTTGTATAGCATCTCCGCATGATCGAACATTGTGTACAAATCCTTATCGATCGTCGACATGTCGACCGTAACTTTTGAGCTGATTTGGTGATCTGATCCCAAAAACCGGTTGAAGGCATAAACATTCGAGTCAGGACTAGAAATGTGCGTTCGCATTCTCTTCGGCAAGAGGTGAGGAGAATCACCGTGATGGCCACGAGGATCTTTGTCCCTTTTCTTGTGCTTTTTACGCACATCAAAAGGAAGCAGCAAATCAGATGGTGGTGGCAATGACGGTGGCACAACAATAGTAACCTTCTTGTCCTTCTCGACAGCGTCAACGCTCTATTGTTGGTACTTTCGAAAGAAGTTCTTACTCACTGATATCTTTATCGCAATGATATCTGCAAAAAATGCACATTTAGCAAAAGGTCACACAAGCGAATAACAACCATCTAAAATGAAATAACACATATTGTCGAGACCAGAAAAGCGGCATGGAGATAGATACACAACGAGGAGTTTTCAAGTCAATAATTGACGAGGTAATTGCTAAAAAAATGCCTAACATCTGGATATCCTCTAACAAAATCTTAGAGCATGGCCAATTCTTGAAATGTAGCGAGCTGCGAGTCTAGTACAAAGGGAACTTGGGGCGGTCACCATAAAAAAAGTGGTCGCAACCAGATGGCCAAATGACTATTTAAAAGAAGTTGCCTTGGAAGTTCCTGAACGAAGAAGTGTGGGATGTGAATAAATCAGAGGTTGAGTTGTCAATGAGGGGCACCCAACTCACTGGAGAAGTTGGTTGGGTACTAAAGTGGGAAAGAAAAACATGGGGTAATGGTCTCAGGTGCAAGGCTTCGCACAAAAGGCAGAAAGTTTGCAAAGCAACCTAGTTATTCGGATGCAGTTGCGTCAAAGCGACGTTTAAGACACGAAGGACGCCCATCATGAACTCATTAAAGGGAAGGTGAACATGAATGTACGAAAACAGGTAGGAGTACATGTAGAAGTACTCCTCGACACCCTCTTGACCATGGCACACATCATCCATGCCGCCATTACGACGAAGCACCATCATGGTGTCGGGGGCACCCTCTGACAACAAGTCTTCGTACTTGATTAAGGACTTTAACAAAATCAACCACTGGTAATTCAAATAATAACTCTGAACCCGATGCTCCATCCATTCCTAACCAACACGTTTGGACATGTCATCCGTAATCATCTCGGCATTAGTGCCCTCCACAACATTGGAAGACCCCTGAGCCTCGATGATAACTAAATCATTGCTAGTCGTGGCTAAAGCGTCGATGGAGGTGTTTTCCATGCTATCCTCACGAAGACAGTTGGTCGGCACACTCCCAACCCACATCGATAACCAACCTGAAGACTTCTTAAACCCAAACGAGGAAGAAAGAAAGGAGTAAGTCATGATAATTATCTCACGTAGCAAAGATTAACATCCAGCAAGATGGCAAAAAGGCAAGCGGACGAACAAGCAAAGCACTTAACAGAGTACAAGAGCACTAAACAACAGAATGAGATAAATGACCCACCGTTAGCCAATTATATAGGTGTGGGTATAGAAATAGAGATGTCTCACATCTTGGTTGTTAGATCTCACTTGAATCAGTGATCCAGATTTGACATTGACATGCTTCCCAAGTTAACACAAAATTGAAAATTCTTGCCTATTCTCTAACATCTCACGCTGCCACCAGATAAAATCGAATACTTCAAGGATGGCTTATAAGCCCCTCACCCCAACCAGGTAGTTCGCGGATGGCTTATAAGCTCGTTGTCTCCAACATTTAAATCTGAACGCTTAGTGAATGGCCCGCCATGTTTTCATTATCGCTCGTCTCGAACTTCGGGGGCATATGTACTATAGTGGCTCTCAATATATTCCCACCTTGTAGAACCCCGACCCATGTCATGCGGTCATGTTCTTATAAATACTCGTAAGTTTGATAAGAAAGCTTTTGTTATTTTGTCTTCACAAGTCCCTGCAAAATATCTCCTAATTTTGTCTCCTAAGTCAGAGTATATTTGCAAGTATTCTCATCACCAATGCCCATATTCAAGAACTTGTCTCCTAATACATTTAGGCAAACATTAAGAGAAGATACATCGTGGGTGAACCAAAGGAAAAGACATGTGTTAGAGTTATTTCTCGATCAACGTTAAGATATTCATGATCAACGACAATTTTCTTTTTCGTTGACAATGTTATTTTTTGTCGACTTGGTCAGGAAATATGTTTTATTAACCTCAACGATCATTTGGTGGCAATTTTTGTATTTGTTATTTTCTATATAGTGACAATTAAAATACTTTATAAAGATAATTATGTTAGAGTTAATCAATAAATTAATTTAATTATGTGACTCAAGTGAAATATAATGATGAGCTCAAATGTGATTTAATAAAATATAAAGACATATTAGTTATTATGGGAAGATATAATAACACAAAATAAAAGTAATGAAATATGATGGACGTTGATTAATATAAGGAATTCAAGATTTTATCTCCAGCGATAAAGTTTTTCTTACTGTTAACCATCAAAAAGTGTGACAGAAAAAAAAAAGATAAAAAGATAGATTGGGAAAAAAATATTGAAAAATGTATTTTTATTGGATCTTTCATAAATCAAAGTTAGTATCTCTCTATTATGATTTATGTGAGAATCGTATATTTTAAGATCTTTATGATGATGTGTACTAGTATTCATGAATTATGAATGCATGAAAACTACAATAAACATGTGTGGTATCATAGCCTCTTTATTGGATTAATGATTTTCCATTAATGATGTTTTTCCCAAAACTGATTAAATCCCAAGTTTATGTTTTCCATTGCAATTGATTTCAAATTGAAATTATAAAATCGTTAATCACTGCAATTGGGAAGCAATTTCAAAATTCCTTTTACGGAAATGTCATTGAATTGCAAATTGAAAGGTGATTCTCACTGTTAGATGAATTCAAAATTGAATGTGGTAACTGAATGATCCATTGTGTGTAATGATTTTCATTAATTTGTGAGATAATACAAAGAAAACTAAGTTGGCATTTAAGCATTAAATCCTGGTGCATTAACAAAAAATGTTAATTGGATCAAGGGTGCATGTGTTTATGATTCGTTTTGATTGGATGGATCAAGTGATGGGTATCATTGTGTCACGTTTTCTGTCAATATCAAATTTATTAATATTTTTGGTTTTATTGTTCGAGATCATATTTAAGATATGTGATGAGATAACTGGTTAGTATTATTATAATAATAAAAGATACTTATTTATTTGAAATCAACCATTATGAATTTTTTTAGTCATCAAAGTGACCAAAATTTTAAAGTTATTTTATTTTAAATTAATGATGATTTTATTTCAATTACCCGTAGTCACTAGTTTTATTTATATACCCAAAGGTGGTAGGTGATTCTAGTTGATACATATTTTAATTATCATTAATATTATAATATGATTAGCATCATTATATTTGCATATTATTCTATCTCCCAAAGGAGAACATTAGTATGTATATAGAATGTTTATTTGTATTTGAATCTATATTTGTGTTTAATTTATGACTAAAAACATTAATGTTAGACATGTGTTAATTGTAGTATTTATTCTTGTATCTCTACATTCACTCACTAAGTTTGTTTTAGTCTTTAATAGGTTAAAATTTTCTAACTGGAGTGAACAAGTCCAATTTCACTTAGGTGTATTGGATCTTGATTTAGTTTTTCAAGTTGAAAAATCGACTGTTATCACTGATGCTAGTAGCAATGAAGAGAAAACTTATTATAAATCTTAGGAAATGTCAAACCAACTTAGCCTGATATTTATGCGAATGAACATAATAAGTGACATTAAGTTTGCTCATCATGAAGTTTGATTTCTCTCATACTATGCATGAATATGTAATTGAGATGACAAATATCGTAGCAAGACTCAAGTCTCTTGGAATGACAGTGGATAAAATTTTTCTTCTACAGTTCATTTTGAATTCGTTATCGTCTGAGTATGGTCCATTCTAGATGAACTATAATACCATGAAAGACAAATTAAATGTGCATGAACTGCATAGTGTGTTAGTTCAAGAGGAGACCAAACTCAAGAACTTAGGAAGTCACTTATTCATTATGTGAGAAATGAAGGAGTTGAAAAGAAAGTTGTTAAAAATATGAAAATGGTACAAGACCATTAAAGATTGACGAGTCCTCTACTAAAATCCAGAAGAAAAATGACAAATGTCATTTCCGCATAAAGTTTGGATATTTCTAGAAGGACTACCTAAAGTGTAAAACTTGGTTTGAAAAGAAAGGTGAGCATAATTTTTATGTATGTTTTGAATCAAAATTAATTCAACTTTTTCATAATACTTTGTGGATTGATTCTGGATGTACGACTCATGTTTCTAATGTGATGTAGGGATTCCTTCAACCCAAACAATAAACTCAAATGAGAAGTTCATCTTCATAGGAATAGAGTGAAGGTTCCAATAGAAGTTGTCAAGACTTATCGTTTGATCCTTAATAATGGATTTCACTTAGACTTGATGGATACTTTTTATGCACCTAGTATCATTAGGAATTTAGTTTCTTTGTTTAAACTTGATGTTGTTGGATACTCTTTTAAGTTTGGTAATGGTTGTTTTAGTTTATTTTAGCGTACTTGTATGATTGGATCTAGTACACTTTATGATGAGTTATATAAATTGAATTTGAATCATTTATATGTTGAAACTATTATAACCTTGCATCACAATGTTGACTCTAAACATTTGGTGGATGAAGGATCTGTTTACTTGTGACATAAGTATTTTGCACAAATTTCCAAAGAAAGAATACAAAGATTAGTAAAGAATGAAATCCTTCTGGATTTGGATTTACTATCTGAATGTGTGTGTGTATTGTATTAAAGGCAGACAAATAAAACACACAAAGAAAGGAGTCACACGAAACACTCAACTTCTTGAAATCATACACATTGATATATGTGCCCCAATTGATGTGAATTCTTTCAATAAAGAGAAGTATTTCATCACCTTCATTGATGATTTCTCGTGTTATGAACATGTCTATTTATTATATGAGAAATCTCAAACAGTGAATGTCTTGGAAGTTTATATAAATTAAGTGGAGAGACAATTAGACTGAAAGGTGAAAATTGTCAGGCCAGATAGATGTGGTAAGTATTATGGAAGATATGATGAAAATGGACAACACCCTGATTTGTTTGTTAAGTTCCTTGATAAATGTGGTATTTGTACTCAATACATAATGTTAGGCATACCACAACAAAATGGTGTGTCAAAAAGGCATAATCAAACCTTAATGAATATGGTTAGGAACATGTTAAGTAATTCATGTTTACTTGTATCGTTTTGGATGTATGCTTTAAAGACTATCATGTATTTGTTGAATAAGGCTCTTAATAAAATTGTTCAAAAGACTCCTTTTGAGTTATGGACAAGTAAGAAACTCAGTTTGAGATACATGCATGTTTGGAGTTATCAGGCAGAAGTAAAAATATACAATCCGCAAGAAAAGAAATTGGATACAAGAACAATCAATGGATATTTCATTGGTTATGTAGAAAAATCAAAAGGGTATATGTTTTAGTCCTACCCATACACTACTACAAATAAAGTTTTCAACGTCGGTTCTGGAAGGCTTTCAACGTCGGTTCTGGAAGGCTTTCAACGTCGGTTTAATAACCGACGTTGTATCAGGCGACGTTGAAAGTCGTAACTTTCAACGTCGGTTCTAATAAACCGACGTTGAAAGTATGATTTTTTAAATTAATAATTTTTATTTATTTACAACCCCTTTACCTCCTTTTATTTATCTAGAAGTCTCCCCTCTCTTCATATTATATTTT